TAAATTAGTGTCCAAAAAATATATATATATATCTTCAGTGACTTGAACCAATTGTGAAAAATCCACCACCAAAGGAGATTAAATGAACTCACCAGAGCTAATGGCTAGTCAGATTATGAACCAGCAACAGCGCTTGTGCTCTGGGAGCAATGAACCCGATGTCCAAATAGATATGGTGATGTTTCAGATACTTCCAGATAATAATGATCACAGCCAAACAACTTTGCAGCCCAAGCTCCTATGATGAACTTCTCCACTCTCTTTCTCATACCTCCATGAGAGCATGCAGTACACTCAGGGACAAAAAAGAGAACATAATGGTGCAATACGTTTTTTTAATTTATCTCTTTAATAAAAAAGGTATAAGGAAACTCACAAACAAGGTGTCCAACAGACACCAGCTTCAATCACAAAAAAGGGTTGAGATACAGTTAACGCTCACCGCGGATCTCTCCCATACAGCACAGAACAGCAAGGCTCTCTAACGTCCACATCGAGTAGGCTACGCCCGACCGGTTTCGTCACACCGACGTCATCAAGGGGCGGTACAAATGGGAACGTCAGACAGCTCTTATAAATACCACCCTTCATCTACATAGTTTTAACACCCAGCCAATCACTGCATTCCTAGTCTCCTTAATCACGCCAGCTATAACAGGTGTTTCCCAATTTAATTATACATATACACTCTGCTACATAAACAAAAAAGCTAAATATATATACCCTGCAGGTTTGAATCAGCGCAATATCGTTCTCCTTCAAAATCACCCACAAAAAAAAAATATAAAAACATAAATATATGCAGAAAAGCAATATATGTCCCCATCCTGTAATAAGACAAACGATATGAAGATAGTCACTGTAAGAGCTCTCACTCTATAGTATGTATAATATCATGTAAATCACAAGGAGCCTTTTTAAAATGTCCTGTAACAGTCCACTCACCACCTGTGCAATGGGTAGTAGAAATAAGAAGAAAGATCTTTCGTAAATACTGCCGTAATGATCCAGGGAACTACCGCTTACATCAGCCAACATTTCGCGGGTTCCGACCTCTCCATGGTGCCTGTACAGCCTTTGCATGACTCATGGCATGTGAAAATGGCTGCCTCCTTATAGGTCGGCGTGCATATCACCAGTGCGCATGACCGGAAGTGACGTATCTAACGTATGACGTCAACGCGTTTCGCCGATGGGCGTATCTCACTCAGCTTCGTCAGGACCCCTTTTTTCATTCAATGTTTTACCCATATTGCCTTATATAGGCTTAGGGTTATGCTTCTCTCCAGTTGGTAACTGTGTCTGTCCTTTTTACTTGCATGTGATATTACATACCTATGGTATAATTTTTGGAAAATCTCCTTCACGGGGTGTAACCTACATGGTATATGGAAATGATATATGCTTATATATATATAGCATGTGATATTGCATACCTATGGTATAATTTTTTGAATATACCTCCTTTGGGGAGTGTAATCTATGTGCGAGTGCTGCAAATGCTTTAGACTATGGTGGTCATAACCTTGGCAGCACATACATCTGGACCGGTCTTGGTGTTATTTTAATGGTTTTAGGTCTGTGTGTATTGTCTCATACTGAGGGTGATGGTAAACCAGGGCGACTGCCCGAGTGTCAATCATTAATGTGTAATAAAGCATAATTTTTGGAAATTTTTCTGAGTATCGCATTCTGTTCATAATGTAGCCGCTTTTCTGTGAATTTCTTCTCACAAACCCCCTTTTTTTGGTCCCCAGGGTTAACCTACCTGATCATGTTTCTGGTGACCCAGCATGTTTTCCAACTTTAAAAACAGTTGTTTACTATGCTTCAAGCTCAGACCACACTCTTCTGGTTCTGAAGGACACGGGTTACCCTTGTTGTTACATGGTTGCAGGGGCCCCCAGTCTTGGGCTTTTAGTCTCCTCACAGATGACCCAGCCTGAAGGTCAGTTGGGTTTAATCAATGATAATCCTGACCGTGCCCACTCAGCAGAAACTAACCAGCAGGATAAATACATCGCTGAACAATACTGTTCTGATTTCCACCACTGGTCACCTGACTCGGGGTGGAAGGACCCAGATCCAAGAAGCCGGTTCAGGTTAGGCCTATCCTTTATCCTCTGGAGAAAAGGCTAGAAGATCTCAGGGCCTCTGCTTATACTGTGAGGACCATGGCCACTTTGTCACCAGCTGCTCCAATAAGCCAAGAAAAGGGCCCTTCCCCTGAACTTTTAAACTCTATTTTTAGGGCCCCGTCTAGTGCTCTGCTTATTCTACCCCCTGGAAAGCTGTTTGCTCCCCTCCACCTTAGGCTTACAGTGCTTTCAGAGGCATATCCAGCTAAGACGGCCGAGCTCCCAGGGAGTACTAAAACCTTTTCTTTGGTTTCTCGTGGGCTTTAGTGGCCTCTCTCCATAAGGACTCCTGTTTCTGTGTAAGAGCTTGCAGAATCTGTGCTCACTATAAGTCCTCAAAAGTCCAACACCCGTGATTACCCCTTCCTTTGCCTGTCCATAAACACCCTTGGATGCATGTCCAGGCTGACTTGTCCTCAAGTTCTGCTGCCTTTACACCTGCTGATGTGGTCTAGTCTGTCTCTACACCTGCTGATGCGGTCTAGTCTGTCTCTACACCTGCTGATGCGGTCTAGTCTGTCTCTGCACCTGTTGATACGGTCTAGTCTGTCTCTTCACCTGCTGATGCGGTCTAGTCTGTCTCTACACCTGATGATGCGGTCTAGTCTGTCTCTGCACCTGTTGATGCGGTCTAGTCTGTCTCTACACCTGCTGATGCGGTCTAGTCTGTCTCTACACCTGCTGATGCGGTCTAGTCTGACTCTACACCTGCTGATACGGTCTAGTCTGTCTCTATACCTGTTGATGCGGTCTAGTCTGTCTCTACATCTGCTGATGCGGTCTAGTCTGTGTCTACACCTGTTGATGCGGTCTAGTCTGTGTCTACAACTGTTGATGCGGTCTAGTTTGTCTCTTCACCTACTGATGCGGTCTAGTCTGTCTCTACACCTGCTGATGTCATCTAGTCTGTCTCTACATCTGCTGATGCGGTCTAGTCTGACTCTACACCTGCTGATACGGTCTAGTCTGTCTCTACACCTGCTGATGTCATCTAGTCTGTCTCTACATCTGCTGATGCGGTCTAGTCTGTCTCTACATCTGCCAATGTGGTCCAGTCTGCCTCTGCACCAGTTGTTCTGGTTCAGCCCAGGCCAATTGAGCCTCCTTTTTCATTTCTGGGACTTTCAGTAATCGGGCCTCACCCTACTGCAACTGCATCTGCTCAAACCTGTCTAAGAAGTTCCATCCAGCCTTTGGATAAACTGCCTCATTCAGCCATGTGGGGTCACAACTTTGTCTTCAGGCCACTCTGCATCCAGCCTGCGTTCCAGCTTGACTTCTGTACCATGTCACCTGCTATCCAACCTGATGTTACAGGTTCTCTGCTGTCCAGTTTGGCTCCATAAACTCTCTGCCTGCTAACCAACCTGACTTTGCTGATCCCCTGACCAGGGGAGAACTGACAACTCATGGGGCCCCCCAGGCAATAGGGGATCATGGGGCCCCTGTGTCCTTGCCCAAACTCAAAAAAGCCTATGAAAAAGGTACCAGGGGCATCTCATGGGGCCCCCTACTGACCCCGGGCAGTGCCCAAGTTTCCAAATGGTCAGTCCACCCCTGCCCCTTGCTCAGCATGCAGGTCCTTTGTTGGATGCCCAGCCTGATGGTCCTGTGCTGGATGCCCAACATGCCTTTAAGGGATTATTGGCCCCTTTTCAGATGGAGGTTAATGTCAGGAACGTCTAGTGCCCCCAATCCATCACAGCTGATGGTCTCATTACAGCATCCTGGTTTTAGCTATGATGCAGCAAGTCTCTGGGTGGAGATTAAATCTGATTTAAGCCAGCCAAACCTGCAGTCTATGTTAGTGATAGTGTGTGTGTAATACACGTTTAAGCTCCCTGTCTGTCTGTCCTGCTCTGCTGTTTGGATTCCTCTGTTTATGACCTTGGATCAGATATCAATTACTCTCTGAACTCTGCCTGTCTTTGGACCAGGGATTGGACCCTGATTACTCTGAATATTGCCTGCCTTGTCAATCAAATGTTGCCAAACACAACAACGCTCAAATCTTGGTGCTTCACAATTCCACACGGTATCTGTCACTTGATGGGGTGCAGTCCTCCACAGATGGGGGAATCTAGGAACTGTCAAAGACAACACACAAGAGGGTGCATTACCGTAATATCAAATTTATTAAAAGATCACAAATGGAATCTCACAAGCCAACCATAAAAACAGACATAGAGCCAGATCTTCAGTCCCAGACAATGGGGTTCTGTCCCAAATACTGCCCAGTTGGGAAAACTGATGCATTTTGTGAGATGAACTCGCCTTGTACCTGGACTGTCATTGAACCTGCCTGTCTGCCAACCAAAAGTACCTGTTGCTGTGCTCAGTTTGCACCTGCCCTGGTGTGGTAGCCAGGCACTATAGCATTGTGTATCAGTCCTGGGGGCACCGAGTACCAGTAGGCCTGCCTGCCTTATGGGAAAGGGGCTGCTATAGGTAAGGACCACAGAAGCCAGATATAGTGTCTGACCACCTGTGTTAGAGAGAAGTGTGACAAGACCTCCAAATGTTTGTGAAATCTCCCACCACAAAATGTACTCAGCCAATCACAGGGCAGGACTTCATTTTTATTCTTCTCCTGCCATCAATTTGGCCAACCCAAACCTACATTTCATCCGTGTCTTTGGTGACCTCTGATCTCCTTATGGACTGTTCCTTCCATGATGAAGATCAGCCATGGAGTATATCTGAGGTGTATATCAGGGGGGCTTCTTCCCCACATGAGAGCTGGGATGTCCAGCAACATTCATCTAGAAGACATTTCCCACACTCAAGGCACTAATACACCTCCAGGGTTGTGTGGAAACCCTGATGTACAGGAGGACAGGACTTCAGTGAGGAACATTTCCCTCACTCAGGACAGAAAAGTGGCTTCTCCCCTGCATGAGATCTCTGATGTTTGGAAAGATGGGGCTTCTGTGAAAAACATTTCCCGCACTCAGGACAGACATAAGGCTTCTCTCCCGTGTGGGATCTCTGATGTGTGTGAAGATTGGACTTGTCTGAAAAACATTTCCCACACTCAGGACAGGAATACGGCTTCTCCCCTGTGTGAGATCTCTGATGTGTGTGAAGACTGGAATTGTGTGAAAAAACATTTCCCACACTCTTGACAGGAATATGGCTTCTCACCTGTGTGAGATCTCTGATGTATGTAAAGAATTGACTTATTTGAAAAACATTTACCGCACTCTTGACAGGTATACGGCTTCTCCCCTGTGTGAGATCTCTGATGTTTGTGAAGACTGAACTTGTCTGAAAAACATTTTCCACACTCTGGACAATACGGCTTCTCTCCTGTGTGACATCTCTGATGTTTGGAAAGAGTGGACTTCCATGAAAAACATTTCCCACACTCAGGACAGAAATATGGCATTTCCCCTGTGTGAGATCTCTGATGTCTGTAAAGATCGGACTTCTGTGAAAAACATTTTCCACACTTCGGACAGGAATACGGTTTCTCTCTCCTGTGTGAGATATCTGATGTGTGTAAAGATGGGACTTCTGTGAAAAACATTTTCCGCACTCAGGACAGGAATAAGGCTTCTCCCCCGTGTGAGATCTCTGATGAGTGTAAAGACCGGACTTCTGTGAAAAACATTTCCCGCACTCAGGACAGGAATACGGCTTCTCCCCCGTGTGAGATCTTTTATGCACATTAAGTTTGTATTTAGAACAGAAACATTTCCCCGCACTCAGGACAGGAGGAGTTCTTCCCTGTTGGAAGGCCGGCCCGGTCCCGCACAGTCTGAGGTTCCTCAGGATACGAGGAATCCGATGGTCCATCTACACTGGGTGGTGCCGGATGGACATTGGAGGGAGCCGGGTTTTCTCCTGGACTATACTGTGTGATGTCCTCATCGTCTACTTTCCAGTCTGGAGACAAAGTGAGACAATCCTCGGAGGTTTTCCTCATCTCCCGGCCATGGACTAAAATACAAAGACAAAGAGGATTACTAGACAGGAGCTGATTGGTTCCCCCAAACCAGGACTCCACCCACATCAGGCAGCTTGGTCTCTGAGGAGCTTACAATTCCACCCTCAAGGGAACTAGGAAATGGCTCCTCTGATCTCCTACCAGGTCATTTCTTTATTCATGGACCTTAGTCAGAGAGTGAGGAAACAACCAGAACTGTCTTTTATAGGAGGGACAGTGATGAGGGGATTATAGGACGAGGGTCCCCACCCCCTCTATCACTCATCACTATCTTCCCAACACAAGAAGTACTGCACTTCCTTATTTAGTCCATGATTTAGTCATGAAGAACAGCAGCGGGGCTGAGCCCCACCAGAGGTCAGAGAGTGAGGATGGGGGGAGAACAACCAAGATGAAGACTGGACTGATCCTGAAGACCACCATCATTGGGGTATTGACTCCTCCCTCAGTATGACTTTCTGTTTAAGGGTCCAAAGTTGGAGGATGTTATCACATTATTATCACCATGTAAAAGTCTGTGCTCCAATCACATCATCCGATATAAAATGTCCATCTGGGAGGAAATGGGGGGAACAAAAGGGAATCCATATTATGTGTATATATAGCAGTGGGGGGAGGGGGAGAGCAGAAGTCAGGAGTATGTAAATGTACAACACAGAGTATATAGTGCAGGGGTCAGGAGTATGTAATGTACAACACAGAGTATATAGTGCAGGGGTCAGGAGTATGTAATGTACAACATGGAGTATATAGTGCAGGGGTCAGGAGTATGTAATGTACAACAGAGTATATAGTGCAGGGGTCAGGAGTATGTAATGTACAAAATAGAGTATATAGTGCAAGGGTCAGGAGTATGTAATGTACTACATAGAGTATATAGTGCAGGGGTCAGGAGTATGTAATGTACGACACAGAGTATATAGTGCAGGGGTCAGGAGTATGTAATGTACAATATAGAGTATATAGTGCAGGGGTCAGGAGTATGTAATGTACAATATACAGTATATAGTGCAGGGGTCAGGAGTATGTAATGTACAACATAGAGTATATAGTGCAGGGGTCAGGAGTATGTAATGTACAACAGAGTATATAGTGTAGGAACCAAGAGTAAGTAATGTACAACATAGAGTGTATAGTGCGGGGGCGTGTCAGGAGTGTGTTAAAGTACAACATAAAGTATATAGTGCAGGGGTCAGGAGTATGTAATGTACAACATAGAGTATATAGTGCAGGGGTCAGGAGTATGTAATGTACAACATAGAGTATATAGTGCAGGGGTCAGGAGTATGTAATGTACACAACATAGAGTATATAGTGCAGGGGTTAGGAGTATATAATGTACAACATAGAGTATATAGTGCAGGGGTCAGGAGTATGTAATGTACAACATAGAGCATATAATGCAGGGGTCAGGAGTATGTATTGTACAACAGAGTATATAGTGCAGGGGTCAGGAGGATGTAATGTACAACAGAGTATATAGTGCAGGGGTCAGGAGTATGTAATGTACAAGTTATATAGTATAAGGGTCAGGACTCACAGTATTAGTATTATGTAATCAGTGGAAGCCTAAATGTTTACTGTAGACAACATGTAGAGGTGATCTGGGATTAAACCATCATGAAACAGGTTAGATTGGAGGTGAGCAAATCCTTGGACAGAGGGCTGGAGGTGGACGTGGTATACTTGGACAGAGGGGTGGCGGTGGACGTGGTATACTTTGACAGAGGGGTGGCGGCGGACGTGGTATACTTTGACAGAGGGGTGGCGGTGGACGTGGTATACTTGGACAGAGGGGTGGCGGTGGACGTGGTATACTTGGACAGAGGGGTGGCGGTGGACGTGGTATACTTGGACAGAGGGGTGGAGGTGGACGTGGTATACTTGGACAGAGGGGTGGATGTGCTATACTTGGACAGAGGGGTGGAGGTGGACGTGGTATACTTGGACAGAGGGGTGGCGGTGGACGTGGTATACTTTGACAGAGGGGTGGCGGCGGACGTGGTATACTTTGACAGAGGGGTGGCGGTGGACGTGGTATACTTGGACAGAGGGGTGGCGGTGGACGTGGTATACTTGGGACAGAGGGGTGGCGGTGGACGTGGTATACTTGGACAGAGGGGTGGAGGTGGACGTGGTATACTTGGACAGAGGGGTGGAGGTGGACGTGGTATACTTGGACAGAGGGGTGGAGGTGGACGTGGTATACTTGGACAGAGGGTGGAGGTGGACGTGGTATACTTGGACAGAGGAGTGGCTGTGGACGTGGTATACTTGGAATGAGGGGTGGAGGTGGACGTGGTATACTTGGACAGAGGGGTGGAGGTGGACGTGGTATACTTGGACAAAGGGGTGGCGGTGGGAGTGGTATACTTGGACAGAGAGGTGGCGGTGGACGTGGTATACTTGGACAGAGGGGTGGCGGTGGACGTGGTATACTTGGACAGAGGGGTGGCGGTGGACGTGGTATACTTGGACAGAGGGGTGGCGGTGGACGTGGTATACTTGGACAGAGGGGTGGCGGTGGACGTGGTATACTTGGACACAGCTCCCCACACACGGCTAATGTGTAAGGTAAAGTCTACAGGCTGGAAAAATCTGAATGTAAATGGATAGAAAACTGGATAAAAGATCATATTCAGAGAGTAGTGGTTAATGATTCATACTCTGAATGGTCTGGGGGTGTCAGTGGTGTACCCCAAGGTTCAGTATGATTAGTGGTGTACCCCAACCTTCAGTGTTATTAGTGGGGTACCATAAGGTTAAGTGTAATAAGTGGAGTACCCTGAGGTTCAGTGTTATTAGTGGGGTACCCCAAGGTTCAGTGTTATTAGTGGTGTACCCCAGGGTTCAGTGTTATTAGTGGGGTACCCCAGGGTTCAGTGTTATTAGTGGGGTACCCCAAGGTTCAGTGTTATTAGTGGTGTACCCCAGGGTTCAGTGTTGGGACCCTTACTTATTAATATATATATATACAATATGGGGTGTGAGATTATAAACCCCATTCCAGTCTTTGCAGATGACACCAAGCTGTGCCGGGGAATAACGTCCTTACAGGATGTCTCCAACTTACAAGCCGACCTCAATGCTCTGTGTAATTGGGGGACTATGGGGCCAATGAGGGCTAATGGTGATAAATGTAAGGTTCTGCACTGGGGGGGGCTAAGAATATGCATCATACATACTGGGGGTGTACAACTGTCCGGTCAATGGTGAAGGATCTTAGGGGGTCAAGGGTGGACAATGATCTGGGGGGGGTCAATGGTGGAGAAGGATCTGGGAGGTCAATGCTGAAGAAGGATCTAGGGGGGGGTCAATGGTGGAGAAGGATCTGGAGGAGTCAATGGGGGAGAAGGATCTGGGGGAGTCAATGGGGGAGAAGGATCTGGGGGGTCAATGGGAGAGAAAGATCTGGGGGGGGGGTCAAAGGTAGAGAAGGATCTGGGCGGATCAAAGGGTAGAGAAGGATCTGGGCGGATCAAAGGTAGAGAAGGATCTGGGCGGATCAAAGGTAGAGAAGGATCTGGGCGGATCAAAGGTAGAGAAGGATCTGGGGGTTCTAGTAGATCACAAGCTTAATAATGGCAGCAATGCAAAGCTGCGGGTTCTAAAGCGAGCAAAATCCTCTCTTGTATTAGGACAGGTATAGACTCCAGAGAGAGATATCACCCCCCCCCCCCTCCCCCCCGGGTACAAATCATTAGTAAGACCTCATCTGGAATATGCAGTTCAGTTTTTGGCTCCAATTCACAAACAGAACATTGGGGAACTGGATAAAGTACAGAGAAGGGCAACCAAACTGATACGAGGCATGGAGGAGATCAGCTATGAGGAAAGATTAGAGGAACTGAATGTATTCTCTACTGAGAAGAGGAGATTAAGGGGGGGATATGATCTCCATGTATAATACATAAGGGGGGATATGATCTCCATGTATAATACATAAGGGGGGGATATGATCTCCATGTATAATACATAAGGGGGGATATGATCGCCATGTATAATACATAAGGGGGGATATGATCTCCATGTATAATACATAAGGGGGGATATGATCTCCATGTATAATACATAAGGGGGGATATGATCTCCATGTATAATACATAAGGGGGGATATGATCACCATGTATAATACATAAGGGGGGGATATGATCTCCATGTATAATACATAAGGGAGGGATATGATCTCCATGTATAATACATAAGGGGGATATGATCACCATGTATAATACATAAGGGGGATATGATCTCCATGTATAATACATAAGGGGGGGATATGATCTCCATGTATAATACATAAGGGGGATATATGATCTCCATGTATAATACATAAGGGGGGGGGGGCATGTGATCTCCATGTATAATACATAAGGGGGGGATATGATCTCCATGTATAATACATAAGGGGGGATTGCTGTAGGAAAGTCCTGGATTCTTTCTTGGATACACAGAATATAACTGGATATAACATTTATAGGGATAGTTGATCCAGGGAATATCCGATTGCCTCTCGGGGGTATGAGGAAGGAATATTTTTCCCCTGCAGGAGGAGATCGGATAGTGCTTTGCTGGGTTTTTGCCTTCTGGTGGATCAGCTGTGGGTGTCGGATTATAACTTTTATTTTTAATGGTACAACTAGATGGATGTCTTTTTTCAGCCAGACTAACTATGTAACTATGTAGGTCCCACACCGCTGCCTCCCATCTCCTGAGACTGCACTCAGTGACTTGGGTCTGAGACACTACAGACATATCCCTCCACCCGGCACAGCCAGCAGATAACAGAGAAGGTCCCCTGGAGGAGTCAGGCACAAGGCAGGAGACCCCAGTCACATGTCCTGGGTGCCTA